TGATTTTGTCTATCATTTTGTTGCTCTTTGAATGCTTTTTGTCTATGACTTCTGTTGCTCTTTGAACTTTATGGTTTTTAGTTTTGTCAATGCTCAATGGTTCAATGTGTGACTTTCAATCTTAATTGATTTCTAAACCTTTATTATGCTTTTAAAAATTTTATATATATTATTCTTAATGTAGATATACTATATATTCAAGATTCTACTAGTGCCTTAATATGCGCATTGTGTTCGTGATGCGCGCGCATCAAGTGCGCCTCGCGCATCGAGGCGCTAGAGGTACTTTGTGCATCGGTGCGCATCGCGCCTTAAATAACTATGTTTGTTAGATCAATTTGCTGCTAGAGTGGCTGCAAGAAATTAGAGGATGTTTTTCTATAGCTTCATAATTGTTTTTATTTAAATGTTGGTGCTGGCGTTGTGGTTATCAAAAACAGTGGGTTTAGGTTGGGCTGGTCTTAATCTAACTTATTCTTGAAGGATAAATAGTGAAGGACTGACAAAGGATCCCTTCGCACTCTAATTCTTTGGATGGTTAAACATATTTTGTTAACTATTTAACATTTAAAAGTCCATTCTCATTCAATTAAATTTAGATACGGAGTATATAATTTTTTCATTGTTTACTTATTATTGGCCCCTACTCCCCCCCCCCCTCACACACACTCACATTTGTTCTCTATCAAGCCTTGTTTTCTATTTTTGATTTAGCTACATTTTATTTTTAAGAAGTTAGTTGTTCTCAATGAGATCTAATGCTGATTTACTTAAACTGTGTTTTTTTATAAAATTTAAATTATCAAAGAATAAGGTTTTTTTGTTAGCACACAATAAGCCTCAATGTTTTTTTTGCCTCGTTGCAAGGGAAGGTATTATTCACCAAATTAAAACTAAATTTAGTTGATCTTATATTTCTTTTATTTTTTATTTTTCTAGAAAAACAAAGTTATAAGACAATCTATATTTCAGGCCAACGTAGCTTCGCCACTTGGGGAGTAGTCAAAAGCTGTTGTGGACCATAGAAGGACCATATCAAATAGATATGCCTAGATTGGTATAAACTCTCATTCAAATTTGTCTTGGATTGACATAAGAAAGGAAAACCATTTGTTTTTTTTGCTACATCTCTTTCCTTTCCTAACGGCTGAACCCCTTATACGGTTATACTCATTTTATTCATCCACTAGCATTGTTGTTCCCTTTAGAATCTCTCCTTAAGCATTCAAGCACATATTCAAATGCAGTCAACGTCAATGCCAAAGGTGAGTTAGTTAAAAATATTTCTAAAGTTAAATGTTTTGTCATTTTTAGCTGATTAGCAATATTGTTGAGTTTGTAATTTTTTTTGCTATTGGGACATTATGTGCAGCTAATTTTTAAAATGTTTGGCCTCATCCTTTTTACTCTGTTTTTTATTCATCTTCCTACATTTTTTCCATTTCCATTTCCTCAACATTTGTTCCTGGTCTATGTCTTGATTGTAACACTATTGCTTGTTGTAAGTTTCTTATACAGAGTATCTTTGTTAAATACGGGGTTTTGCAATCATTTCAGAATCATCTAATTTACTTCATCAGACAAAAACATCTGTTTTTGTTTTAAAAATATCTAGTTATTTCAAGAAAAAAAGGATCTGATTTATGTTTAAGGTTTTTCCATTGGAGTTGATGAATTATTGATGAAATGCGCTCGTGTTCTAACTAATCTCTCACCTTTGGAATTTAAAGTTCGTAGTCTGGATCAAGAAGAGTTTAATGAGATTGTAAAGTTGGTGCTTTTATCACCTGAGTGTGATTTGACTTTGCCTAAAATTGAGACGATCAATAGCTATGCTTCCATAGCCTTGGCGATCGATGGATCTATATTTGATGGGGAGACCCTATTCCACAAAGGGCATCCTCATAACTTTATTTGATCATTTTTGACAAGTAGAGCTACATATTCTTGTGTTGAAAGTGTCATTCTCCCAAATGGTAATTGTACTTGTGTAGTATATACCTGTGATCCTTTGAGTTCAACTCCTTGTTATCGCATAATGGGCCATATTTGAAATGATGATGTCTTTGTGTAGTTCTACGGTGAAGAGTTTCAGTTTGAAAAGAATTTACACCCTCATGTTCCCATCATACAGTGTGCAGGATTTGAGTTGTGTAGATGGTTGTTTAGGCGGACCAATATTTAATGATCAAGATAAAATTGTGGAATGGTGGTTCCTCAAGTACATGGATATCAAATAGCTATCCATGTGACGTTTTTCAGGCTCTTTGTACGACGCTATATCAAGCAGCAACAAAATGTTTCTACTTCTACGGTCGATCCCTAGAGAAAGGAACGGATGGAGGAGGTTTGACTATTAATTATTCAACGATCAGTTTTATAAATAACTTTGAAGTGTATCCACACATGTTCATTTCAAATGTGCAAATTGTTCGAAAAAAGAAGAAACTTTGATTTGTATTCCATATGAAAGGTGATTATTTAAGCAAATGTCTAAAGTTTGAATTTAAAATCGAAGAGGGTGTCTTATTCCTAGCATATCATTTTTGGCATATTAAATATTTTTATATTTTGTTTGGCATAATTGTTTCTGCTTTGATGTGAGATGAAATTGATATTGTGCATTTATGTTGGAGTTTCCTCATAAAAAAGTGACAGTTTCTTCTAGAGAATCTTCACTCTTGTTTCATTTGTATTCGTCAATGATATATTTGAACATTGTGTTTTCTTTTGTTCTAGAGTTTCTCTACTCTTAGTGTGTTGCTACATATAAAAGTTAGCCAAACCTTTTCTATCAGAGAAACTAAAATTTAAAAGCCTAACTTTTATATGTAGCAACACACTAAGAGTGGAGAAACTCTAGAATAAAAGAAAACACAATATTCGAATATATATCATTGACGAATACAAATAAAACAAGAGTGAAGAATCTCTAGAAAAAACTATCACTTTTTTATGAGGGAACTCCAACATAAATGCACAATATAAATTTCATCTCACATCAAAGCAAAAATTGCTATGCCAAACAAAATAAGAAAATATTCAATGTGCCAAAATTGATATACTAGAAATAAGACACTCTCATCGATTTTAAACCCAAACTTTAGAACATTTGCTTAAATGATCACCTTTCATATGGAATACAAATCAAAATTCTTTTTCGAACAATCTGAATATTTGAAATAAACATGTGTGAATACATTTCAAAGTAATTCATAAAACTGATCTTTGAATAATTAATAGCCAAACCTCCTCCATCCATTTCTTTCAGTAGAAGTGCAAACATTTGTTGTTGCTTGATATAGCGTTGTACAAAGAGCCTCAAAAGTGTCACATATCCATGCACTTGAGCGACCATTATCCCCACAATTTTACCTCAATCATTAAATATTGGTCTTCCTAAACAGTTATTTTCACAACTCAATCCTGCACACTGTATGATGGGAACACGAGAGTGTAAATTCTTTTCAAAGTGAAACTCTTCACCAACAAACTGCGCGAACACATCATCATTCCAAATGTGACCCATTATAAGATAACGAGGCGTGAAACTCAAAGGATCACAAGTATATTATGCAAAAGTACAACTATCATTTAGGAAAATGACGCTTTCAATGCAAGGATATGCTACCCTACCTGTCAAAAATGATCCAATATTGTTATGAGGATGCCCTATGTGAAATATGGTCTCCACTAAAATATGGATCCATTGATCGCCAAGGCCATGGAAGCATAGCTATTGATCGTGACAACTTTAGGCAAAGCCAAATCCCACTCAAGTGATAAAAGCACCAACTTTGCAGTCTTCTTAAACACTTCTTGATCCAGATTATGAATTTTAATTTTCAAAGATGGAAGATTAGTCAGAACACGAGCGCATGTCATCAAGAATCCATCAACTCCAATGGAAACACCTGAAGCATATATCACTTTCTCTTTTTTTTGAAACGAAAAGATATTTTTAAAACAAAAATAGATTTTTGTGCCTGATGAAGTAAATCGGATGATTTTGGAATGGTTGCAGAACCTTGTATTTAACAAAGATACCCTGTATAAGAAACAATAAAGCAATCTTTATCTTTATCTGTACAAAGATAAGAGCCAAATTGGAACAATGTTCCTGCCTAAAATTTGATATCCAATTACACACAGTAATGGGTCGGGTTTGGGCTTCTGCTGGCATGGATGGGTTTGGCGTCCTGTCTTTTTAGGGCCAGCTGTTCACATGGAACGATGCTTTCGAATAGTGCCAGGTACAGTAAAAAGAGAGCAGTGGCATTGATTAGAGGGAGCGTATGGGAGAAGCTAAGCTATTTTTCTCGAGTTTGACGCCATACTTCTTTCGTTAGATCCGTAAAAAAAGAACGAGCTCTCTCTTCTCTCCACCTAAACGGCAAAGCATCTAGGGTTCCTCTTCCTATGGAGGACATATAGCCTTCGAATGGAACAAGGTAGGAGACGACAACGCCGACTATCTTTTTTACCATAGGGATTCTGCCGGCCATTAACGGAGGAGCTTCGACGGCCATTAACGGAGGAGCTTCGAAGGCCATTAAAGGAGGAGCTTTGGGCATAAATTGTAGGCCAGGTATGTACATAGCTTCAATTGAAAATTTTGTTTGATTTTCCATCTCAGCTCTAAAAGTGTTACTGAAAAATCTATTTTGACTGCATCCATTCTTTCCATCATCTTCTTCGGCTTTTACCTATTATTCAGGTTTGAAATAGTTTTGATTTTCTTTACAAAGTTAATGCTTGCTTTTCGGTACCTCTTTTTCGAACTTGAACCCTGGTGGCAGTTGACAGAGCACCATAGCCCATTTCCTTCCATCCATGAGTTTAAATTCTTTCTAATTTTTCAGATTCGCACAGGTAATATACCAAATTGTAGCACTGCATCAGCACTAACCTCCCTCTCCAATTTTTTAGGATCACTTATGTCTACTTCCAATTTGCAGAATTAGTGAATCAGGGACTGAGTTGTGTTTACGAAGTTATAAATGTTGTGGTTCTGTTGGAGATGGCAGTTCATAGGTGATGCCGTGTTCTTCAAAATTCTGATTTTTTTTTTCGGTTTTTTGTAATGCCTGGATTACACTAACATACATTTTTGAGGATATTTCACTTGGCAGTGGGTCCTATGTTTTTGGATTATTTCATTCTAGCCATTTTATCCCCTGCCATAGACTCACAACCACTTTTTTATAATGTAGGCAGATCGAAATACATGACACTATTTTCAAACCAAACAAGCAAGATTTGGGCTTTGACTGAAGGTAATGTTGTGTCATGACAACTATTAATGGACAGTGTAATGTAGACACATATCTTCCTATATACAATGCTAGGAGAGAAAAAGGAACAGTGTTCCCGCCCAAAATATTGGGCCGGGTCACAGCCAAATGGGCCTATCACATAGAGAGGCTGGAAAATGAAGCCCAAAACTTACGTCGTACGCTAGACGCAAACTTTGCTGGAAAAAGCAATAACTACAACTAAGTTTACCCCGTAAGCTTCCGAAAATTAACAACAAAGCTTGCGCCGGATTCCTCTCAGATCTTCGCTGCTTCAACAAAGATGTGGCGGCTGTTGTCTTCTTCGACCGGAGTCTGCCGCAAGGTTCTTCCGGATCTAGGGTTTCATCCATTGGTCTCTTTGCCTTCGAGATTAGCAGCCGGTAAGTTTTTTTTCTTGAATTCAAATTTTTATTTACTCTTCGTAAATCTGGGCCTCTCGGACTATAATATTTTTGTGTCAAAGGCAGTGGCAGGCTTCACAACTTCGATCCACGCCATGCTTCTCAAAAAATGAGATGGAGGAAATTTGCTTCTCCTGTAGAATCAAGGGAGATTGGAGAATATGGTGGCTGGATAACTTGACAAAGCTTGAGGATGGAAGATGGATATCTACTTTGCAATGACACTGATGGTATAATTTTTTATTCAAATATTATTTTTTTATTGAATTAATAATTTAATTTTTTTTTTGATTTCTACTATCATAAATAATACAGTATCACTTTCAAAAGTGATGATTTTTTCTGCTTGCGTATACTTTTTAGGGAAGCCTTAGGGCCCTCCTGAAGTTATTATATGGCAATTGTGCTGTCATGGTGCGTTTGGGGCATGACTATGTTTATAGCAATTTGAGACTTTGAATTCAATGGGTGCGTGGTTTTGTTTGTGAACTTAGAATTTCATTTAATTTTGGTCAATTCAATTATGGGTGGGTCCGAAAAATTGAAAACCGAGAACCGAAATGAGATCAATCAACTTGTAGAAAGTATTTTTTAATAATTTTTTTTCTGAATTTAAGCTTTACCCATTTCTCGTTTTATTTTTTAATGGATATTGATGATGAACAAATGAAAGTCTTGGTAAAATTTGTTTGATATATATGGATATATATATAATTATTTTCAATTCAATTTATTTGATTATAGGTGTAAAATTAAGAAATAAAAATTATATATTTTAAAACACCATTAAAAGTTCTACAAAACAAGAGGTGACATGACTATATTATATTATCAAATAAACAACAAAAATAGGTAAAAAAAATGATTAAAGTTTGATCATGTAAATAGTAATTGGGGAAGAAGAAAATTGATCCAATTGGGCAAAAAGGATTTTAGTTGGGCTAATGGGTCGTGAGAGCATTCAAAGCATGTGTTAGGACATGTGTTTTGATGGCATGCGTTGGGACATGTATTTTCACTTCAACCAATATACCTTATTTCCTCACATGTCCCAATGTAAAATCATCATTGCTTTCTCCCCACAATGAATTTCCGAATTTAATATTTTTAAACAACCCTTGCCCAATACCTTTAATTCATTTCCCCACCATTAAAGCTTTTGAAAATTTCATCTTTCCCATATGGGTTCCAAACATGTTTTCCGTGATCTCTTTACCAATCTTGGTGAGCTCGATAAGGACCACAACAACATTGCTATCCACGTACGAGCTATTAGTGTCTATGACGTTCACCCTTTTGGAAGAAATGTTGAATCGATGCATGGAGGTTGTCTTTCATGACGATGAGGTATGTAAACTTTGTTTAAGTCCTGATGATTCAAGTTATTTTTTAAGGCATTCAAATTAAAGTTACAAATGATTTTTTGATTTAACTACTAAAACAATTTTTTTTAAAAAAAGGGAATGATGCTTTTATTAAACAAAAAGCATTCAATTTTTATCAGCTCATTGTTACCTAGAGCCTAACAATGTTATGAGTTGGCATACATAGAACAACGAACAAATCCAACCAATTCAACATAGGAAAACGTGGGTCTTGAGCCACGAACCATTTAATTTAAAGTATGGTGTTTTAAACATACTAAATTTTTGCGACTCTCTATGACTTAAATATCTAGATTTAAAAGAAGAGAGAGATCCTTATATTTTGATTTTACTGAACAAATTCTTTAAAAGAAAGGTAATAATACTTTTATTAAAACAAAAAACATTCAATTTTTATTCCTTCAATATCACCTAAATATGGATTAAAGCAATATAGCAGTAAATTACGAGTTCTCTTACAAAGAGCCTCGAACCCTTCCTATCAAAAAAACATTGATTAACACAATAAATATTTAATGTATGTAATAGATGAAATACATTGGAAGACGTGTGAAGTTAACTAAAAAAGAAGAGAAGTATCCTTCTATTTTGATTTAAGTACTTAAAAAATCTTTAAAGAAAATGTATTGATACCTAGAGCATATAAAATGATTATTTGCTTTGAGCCACACACCCAAACCCACATAAATGGACATATCAAGTGTAAGTTCGTGGGGGCGCAGCGGATAACACCAAACACAAGCTATACAAACAAAACAATCAACTATGTTGTAGAGAAGATGCTGCAGCACTGTCACAGTAGCAGATGATTGACAGAGTGCTATAACACCTTCTCTGTCACAAGCACACACACGTAGAATATAAAATAAAAACAGCAAGCAAGACACCAGAATTGTTCACGCAGTTCGGAGCAAATTCTCCTACGTCTGCAAGGCCCACGTCCGTGTAATAGCCCTTCCACTAAATCACTGTAAGAATTACACAATCAATCACAACAGAACCTTCTAATGTATTGATTTGTCTACTTACGAATGACTTGACGACAAACTCGGTTTGAGTCTATCTCCACGGCTTGTTACACCTTCTCAAAGATCTTCTTCAAGGACGTAGATTCCAATACACCTTCAAATAAAGATTCTCCTTGATCTACAAAAATATGCAGGCTGTTCTGAAGCTCATAAGTCAAGATTGAACCGTTGAAATTCGATCTCCGTCGTTCATATTTAAGCTCCATGAGTCCTTAGACTCCTCCTAAAATTTCAGCACGATCAAACAAGATTTGGTAGTCCGATCATCGACAAAACCAGAGCTGCGTTCTGTGCAAAAAATTAGCGGCAATATGCAGATTGTAACTTCGATAACAGAAGATCCGTAACTCCGATCGACGTGAAATTTTAACGCGTTGAAGGCCTATGTGTTGGAAACACCCTCTGAAAATTTACACAAAATCCAATGGTCAGATCTCTGGCGATGATCAAATCTGTGCGGGCTGTCAAACTCTGCACCTTGTTTTTCTTTTTTCGGATTTTCTTCCGTTGTTTCGTATTTTTCTGCCACAAAACTCTAATGGATAAAGAAGATAATATATGGAGTATATTAACCTTGTTAGAGTCGGCTTAGGAGACTCAATCATGCCTTCCTCCTCAAGAATAGTAAACCATGTAGGATTAGAATTCAAGTCGGATTAGAATTCTCTCTTCAAGCTTTTTCCTCTTTCTCTTCCTTTACGTGCTAGGACTCTAAGTCTAAATAAAACATCTATAATAATTCTAGATATATCTATTCGTTTGTCAAAAATAATGTCAACACAATTTGGAACTAACAACATGCACTACTTACTAATTACAGAGCATATAAGTTAATGTTTACAATTCATTTTTTCATCTTTTTTTTCATTTTAATCAATGAAATATAAGTCTGAAATATTATGATGTTCTAGGAAGAACGAAGCAACGTCTGGGAAGAAATAGTTTATTTTAGTTGCCAAAGTAGCCTTATAATTCCATGTAACGTGTGACTATAAAAGTGATGTGCTTGAGTTGTTTCAAATTTTATTTTGTGAAGTGATTTTTAGATATTGTGTTTCTTTGGCGCACCTTCAGTGCATATTATTTTTGGCGCACGTATCTATTAAAAAAATAGATACGTGTCTAAGTAGTAAGAAAATATTTATTTTACTTATATGTGAGTCTATAGTGAACCTTAAGCCCACCACTAAATTTGTCTTTTTTAGATAGATTAGTTAGGACTTAGGACTAGAGTAGTGAATTAAAACTCTTTGTATATCTAATTCTTTAGAGGTTCAAAAGATTGGCCCAAACGGGTTTGTTTTTTGCCTCTTCTCTATTTTTTGTTAAATATATTTTTATCCGCTTAAAATAATCAAATTTTGTTTTATAACTTTTAACATTAAATAATCTGTCTTTTTTTGTTTGCAAATGCTCCGCCCAATGCACCAATGAATGGAGCATGGTTCTTCTTCTAAAGTACTCCATTCACGTTGATGTTTGACGAAAATTATTTTAAATTTATTTCATATTATAATTAGTGTAGAATTAAAAAATAAGAGTATATATTTTAAAACTACATCAAAAGATCTTGAAGACTAGAGGTGACATAAATATATTATTTTATCAAATTGGCAACAAAAATAAATAAAGTAGATAAATTGTGATCTTGTAAATAATATAGTGGAAGAAACTCAAGGGATGGAGGAAGTAAATGATTACACATCTTGTTAATAAAGGTTGGGTCTTCTGTTTGTTATGAAGAATGTCATTCATACTTTTCTTTTCTTTTTATGATAGATGCGAGAAAATATGAACATAAACCATTGATAATCCGATACAAATGATTCTTCTAGGTGAAGGGTAGTCTCAATCCCCACAAATGGAATCTCCACCTTAACATCAAGACTTCCATCACTTCTATGAATTTCAGATGATGCAATAACAACTAAACCTGGTAAAACATAACTGGAACTGATTACTCAATCTAAATGATTCAAATCCGAAATTGAAATGATCCGAAAAGTGAAGATTCAATTTATAACGAATAACCAAAATTATCCGATTCAAACCAAACTAAATTAAATATATCCATACCCAATTTAAAAGCGAAATCGATTAGATCCAAAACCGGCTAAATCCCAAAGCAGTAACATCCCAAACTGGTAACATCTAAAACCGATAAAACCCGAAACTGATAAGATCCAAAATTGATTATATCTGAAATTGATTCTGTTTGACAATAAGTATAATATGATTTAAAATTTTATTTTTATTTTAATATTTGAACTAGTCATATACTTATATTACTTACTCCCTATGTCCAAAATGAATTATCATATCTAAACAAAATTTAAAATTTCATATGTTTTAATTTTTTATTAAAAATTGGAAAAATAATGAACATAACAAATTACATAGAATACTGTTTAGTTAAAATTTAAACAAACTAGAGCACGGTTAAAAATATTTTTTTCACCCCCTGTCATGTAATATTGTATGGTTGGCCAAACTTGTACTTTGAATTGCATTTAATTTCACTCAAACTTTATTTAATTACATTCAATTTCAATATACTTTAATCAAGTTGTATGAAATTTGATAATTTAATTATATTAATTTTATAGCAGAACTAAATATATTAAGTCGAGGATATCAGATTCTCTTTCAAAAGTAGAACATGTCTAACATCATTCAAGGAGCAAAATGTACCATCATAAGTCCTCAACCTCATGGAGCCTATTCCAATCACCTTGCAGACAACGTCGTTGGCCATGGAAACGTTACCTTCGTCGATATGCTCATACACTGAAAACCACTCCCTACATGGAGTAATATGATATAATGCTCCAGAGTCAAGAAGTCTCACATCCTTACAATGTGCTTGGTTATTCTTCAGAGTTCATGTCGACTTGCCACGTCAGCAAAACTTTCTCCCTTTTGTTGTTGCAACTTTCTCTCAGGACACTCATTTTTCCAATATCCTTTCTCCTTACGGTAGTGAGTCTAATGACAGACATCATCACCTTTAAGACCCTTGGCAATCAAATTCCTTCTACCAGGTTTTCTTCTTCCTGTAAACTTATTAATTTTCATGCTCAAATTAGACAACCTTCCCAACTAAAAATAAAAATACAGCTTGAATTTTTCAATCAGACCGAAAAATCCAAAATTTTCTCAAGACCACCAAATTTCT